GGGGGAGGGGCACCATCAAACGCAAGCTTATGAAAAAATAATATATATGATAAAGACAGATTTCAATTAGAAGATGTGCAAAGCAAGTTAGCATATTTACAGAGAGAAAACAATACAAAATGGAAAGGAGATCTATTTCTAATTCTAAACAAGTATGGTCAAGTTCAGAGGGTCGTTTGACCTAGCTTAAATTCGGACTTGTTACTGCTGTTAATTCATCTGTTTTTGGTCAAATAAATTTTACCAAGTTTGGTAAGCATGCTGCTTTTCTTGACTTTTATTTGGTGTTTTTCGCACTCTGCTTCCGCACATTTAACATTTTGACTTTATCTGCGTGGTTTGGGCAGATTTCGTTCTTTGCTTCTCCAGTCTGTTAAAAGTATAATGCGCTCTGTCCCGCAGCCTCCCGTCCACCTGCCAGGCGTTCATTAGTAGCTGAGTGAGAGAGGCTGAGAGGGAGAGAAACTCAGAGAAGCTTTAGAGCTTTTTTACTGCTGGAGAAAAAAACGTAGCAAGTCATCAACTTCCTAAATGCAGTTATTCTCTTCTGAATCAGCACTTCTTTAAAGAAGAAGAAATAGTTAAATGCAACAAAGGGAAATATCCTTTTATTCAGCCTGTTCGTGTGACTTGTATTAAAAAATAAGTCTGAACAGTGTTAAAGGTTGTTCATCTAAAAATAAACCTTTAAGAGTTTGAAGATTTTTTGTTTTAATAAGTTCATCTTAAAACATCTTTCTCAAGTAAAATAAAGTTTCCTCTGTGAGGTCAGATAGGCCCATCTGTGTGTGAAAAATTAGACTAACCTATTTTCTAATTAGGTATTTGCTCTATGTTGATATATTTCATAAACATTTACGGGCCAAGGGGAACATCAGCTGCTGATGGTATAATTTGAAGAAAAAAGTCCATTATGTTAACCTCCTCCCTTCATATTCAGAATTTTCTAGTTGTGTATAAAATGTGTATATTGTGCCTCTCTAGTTAAGGTTAAATAGTTTTGAATTTAGTCATGTCATATGCCAGTGATTTATAAGCCAATGTACCTATAAATAATCTATTGCAGTATTTTTTTTTACCATGGTTTAAAACGTTTATCTTATTATAGAATGAATATGACAAAATTATCTTTTTGTGTCTGAATGCAGGCTCAATGAACAAGTACTTTCAAGGAGGAGCTCATGCCAAAAGTTCAGATCAGCCATCCACCAGCAGTTCAAGAGCTCAAGATCAGTTGTCAGCCATCACTTCTGAACCTTCTACAACATCACCCAGCCCTGACCAGGAATTACAAAGTAAAGCACACCTACAGACCGAGCACAGCCCACAGGCAGCACTTCTGATGGCAGAGTGAGTCCTGGATCTGAAAAAGCATCTGAAAATTACATTGGAGAAACACGTGCCACAACCGGTGCTTGTGGTGTGTGGATCTGTTACATAGTTCTAAATAATAACAATATGGAGTTCCCGTGTTGAGTATGTTATATTATGTAAATATCAATCTTGCACATACTGTATCATTGTGTTGTTTTTTCTGTGTGTGTGTGTGTGTGGGGGGGGGGGGGGGACCACGAAGCCTTTGTGCTTAGGGCACCAAAATAGCTAGCAACGGCCCTGTGTGTATCATCCCTGCTTATGGGTCAACTCAGAAATTGCTTCTTGATGTGATGACTTATTTATTTATTTATTTTAATCAAGAACAAAAGACTAAATTACAAAAAGCTAAAAAGACACACCAGATTAATCTGAAGTTGGTTCCTTTTTTTAGTTTCAGAGTCAGAAAGGGCAATTCTAACAAATGTGTCCACTCCCCGAGCATCTTTACTCTGCTCTAATTATAAATTTACAATACTTTGACGTTTCAAACCCGGACTAAGTTATTCTACACTAATAGCACCTTAATGACCTTAGGCAGCAGTTGCTCAGGAGGGAGAGGGAGTTGTAGGATCCCTCCTGACTCCTGCCAGGGAATTCTGCTATTGTGTCCTTGGGCAAGACCTAACACAACCCTTCCTGCTAGTGGTGGTCAGAGGGACCGGTGGTGCCTGTGCTCGACAGCCTCGCCTCTGCCAATGTGCCCCAGGGCAACTGTGGCTACACTGTAGCTCATCATCATATGACTGTGTGTGTATGAGTGAATGACTGTGTTGTAAAGTGTCTTGGGGGGACTCTGGAAGGCATTATTTTAAACCATTTTTTGATTTGTGAGAGTTCAAAGGAAGCAGTTTCCAGCACTTTTCTAGACCACATTAGAACTGGCTCAGCTCTGCAAACACAACACCTAGATGCTTCAAACCAGTACTAGATTATTTTAAACTAATAACCTTTAAAAAATGGTTTGTGGAAACTTTATATGGTTTGTTACAGTTAAAAATAAAAATTCAGATTTTTAAAATCTGGTCTACCAAGATCTGTCCCAGCTCCAAACTTCCACACCTAGACTCTTCAAACTTGAACTAGATTGTTCTACATTAACAGCAAAATCAATAAAAGACAGTTAGTAATTTGTGAAACCTTTAGTAGATTAGTGGAAATTCTAAGAGGACAACTGATTGATTACCCATCAAACAAAACATTTTATAATTAGAGAAGATTAAAGATAAAGTGACTGGAAAAATGAGTTGGGATCGATCTTTCTGAACTGGAAAATAAAAAAGGAACCAACTTCATTCAAAAGAAGCAACAAACAGTAAATATACAATAAACAAAAGACTTAGCCAAATGAATCAGAAAAGAAAAAATATTCCAAATCACATTCCAAATGACTTAATGTAATTCAAATAATTTAAGAATTATATACACACACACACACACACACACACACACACACACACAAACACACACACACACACACACACACACACACACACACACACACACGTACATATTTCCACAGTTTTTTCCTGTTTTGTAGGCTTTGTACTAATCTTTACACATTTTAACTATGCAATGTGCTAACTATATTTTAAAAAAATCTACAGTGCACGTTTATTAGATTAAATTTTATCTGTAAAAAATAGAGGGGGCCCAGAAATATTGTTTTCCATGGGGCCCAGAGTTTCTGGTGGCATGGTCTAGATCGTACGTATGTACAGGTGCTGGCCAGTAAATTAGAATATCATCAAAAGGTTGAAAATATTTCAGTAATTCCATTCAAAACGTGAAACTTGTACATTATATTCATGCAATGCACACAGACCAATGTATTTCCAATGTTCATTACATTTAAATTTGATATTCATAAGTGACAACTAATGAAAACTCCAAATTTGGTATCTCAAAAAATTAGAATATTCTGAAAAGGCTGAATATAGAAGACACCTGCTGCCACTCTAATCAGCTGATTTACTCAAAACACCTGCAAAGGCCTTTAAAAGGTCCCTCAGTCTTGTTTTGAAGGCACCACAATCATGGGGAAGACTTCTGACTTAACAGCTGTCCAAAAGACAATCATTGACACCTTGCACAAGGAGGGCAAGACACAAAAGGTGATTGCTAAAGAAGCTGGCTGTTCGCAGAGCTCTGTGTCCAAGCACATTAACAGACAGGCGAAGGGACGGAAAAAATGTGGTAGAAAAAAGTGTACAAGCTCTAGGGATAACCGCACCCTGCAGAGAATTGTGACGACAAACCCATTCAAAAATGTGGGGGAGACCCACAAAGAGTGGACTGCAGCTGGAGTCAGCGCTTCAAGAACCACCACGAGGAGACTCATGAAAGACATGGGATTCAGGTGTCGCATTCCGTGTGTCAAGCCACTCTTGAACAAGAAACAGCGCAAGAAGCGTCTCGCCTGGGCCAAGGACAAAAAGGACTGGACTGATGCTGAGTGGTCCAAAGTTATGTTTTCTGATGAAAGCAAGTTCTGCATTTCCTTTGGAAATCAAGGACCCAGAGTCTGGAGGAAGAGCGGAGAAGCACAGAATCCACGTTGCATGAGGTCCAGTGTAAAGTTTCCACCGTCAGTGATGGTGTGGGGTGCCATGTCATCTGCCGGTGTTGGCCCACTCTGTTTCCTGAGGTCCAGGGTCAATGCAGCCGTCTACCAGGAAGTTTTAGAGCACTTCATGCTTCCTGCTGCTGACCAACTTTATGGGGATGCAGACTTCACCTTTCAACAGGACTTGGCACCTGCACACAGTGCCAAAACCACCAGCACCTGGTTCAAGGACCATGGTATCCCTGTCCTTGATTGGCCAGCAAACTCGCCTGACCTTAACCCCATAGAAAATCTATGGGGTATTGTGAAGCGGAGGATGCAATACGCTAGACCCAACAATGCAGAGGAGCTGAAGACGACTATCAGAGCAACCTGGGCTCTCATAACACCTGAGCAGTGCCACAGACTGATCGAGTCCATGCCACGCCGCATTACTGCAGTTATTGAGGCAAAAGGAGCCCCGACTAAGTATTGAGTGCTATACATGCACATTCTTTTCATGTTCATTCTTTTCAGTTGGCCAACATTAGAGAAACAAACATTTTTTCATTGGCCTTTAGAATATTCTAATTTTCTGAGATACCAGATTTGATGTTTTCATTGGTTGTCACCTATAAATATCAAAATTAAACGTAATAAACATCGGAAATACATTGGTCTGTGTGCATTGCATGAATATAATGTACAAGTTTCACGTTTTGAATGGAATTACTGAAATATTTTCAACCTTTTGATGATATTCTAATTTACTGGCCAGCACCTGTATGTATGTATGTCGATGGTCTAGATGCAGAAAACATGCTAAAATCTGGCTTTGTTGGAGTTTCAAAAATAAGAAACCAGTTTCACAAATCCCAGTGGAGGTTTAACTTGTTCTGCTAGTAGTGCAAATGAATCTAGTCCAGGCTTGAAGAGTGTAGGTGTTGTAGATTTTGAGCTAGACTCCAGTGTGGGTCAGACACTAAAAAAAAGCATCAATATGGCTTTCTTGAGGTTTCACAAATCAGAAAAAGGTTTCCCAAATCACAAACTATGTTTTATGCAATCTGTTATTAGCCTAGAATAATCTAGTACAGGTTTGAAGTGTATGTTGTAGTTTTTTTTAGCTATGGTAGATTAGAGATGGTCAGTGTGAAGAAGAATTAGGTGTAATTGCCCTTTAGTCATTTCCCAAATTAGAAGCTAACTTCAGCCTTGTCTCCGTAATGGGATCTAAAGAGTGCAGCCCAGACTAGGAGAAAACGAGTCAAGGACGCTGCTCCACTGTTTGGAACGCAGCCTGCTCCGTTCCTTCCAGTCTGTTCACCTCCATTCACAGTAAATACAAGCATGGAGGCTTTGACTCTCGGTCTCTAGCAGCGGGGGCTCGACACACAGCCGTAACCCGCTCACAGGAACCACAACAACCTACAATCGTTCCCATCTGTGGTTTAACTGGGAACCGGAACCGGGACCGGAGCAGGACGACCCGCCGTGCTCAGCATGAAGCGGATGTCCATGGTGGCCAGGCACAATGGCCTTGTCTCTCCTCTGGGAAACAACAATTCGGGGGCTTCGAGCATCGTCTCCCCATCCCTACCGAGAGCCACAAGCGGGTTCGCTTCATCAAACACCCCGGCAGGAGGCGGGGTGGACGGCCTGCTGGATTTCTCCAAAGGCCCCGCCGTCAAAACAGAACTGGTTTGCAAATGGATCGACCGAAGTTGTTCGAAGCAGAGGCTCGGGCGGACAGCCACGTTCGTCTGCGACCAAACTTTCAGCTCCATGCCTGAGCTCGTGGACCACGTCACCAGCGAGCACGTAGCCGCGGGGCTGGAGAGCCTCAGTCATGTCTGCATGTGGGACGAGTGTCTGCGCGGCGGGAAGGCGTTCAAAGCCAAATATAAACTCATCAACCACATCCGCGTGCACACCGGAGAGAAACCGTTCTCCTGCGCATTTCCCAACTGCGGCAAGATGTTCGCACGCTCTGAAAACCTCAAGATCCACACGCGCACGCACACTGGTAGGCTCTCCAGACTCAGACCGCACACATTCGCGCGTACACTGGTCTCTGTGTCATTCATTAGGACAGCAGCTTCCTGAAACACAAAAAGGCTTAATAAGATAACCACAGGGACCCTCTCCATGTTTATCTGGGCCCAGTTCCGTTTCTGTTCACCCAGACCTTGTTGTCATAAGGAACCAGAACATCTCCGCAGAGTCCAGAGGATATAATACACGAAAGAGCATGTTTAGAAACCTATTTTAATTAATGTTTATTTTATCATTTATGTTGATAAATATAAGATGTGAACAACAAATTTTCCACATTATTACTGTTATCTGTTGTGTGTAAACACAGATTAGGCAGATTGTGGAATGGGTTAAATTCATACAAGATGCCTATTTAGGATTAGCTGTTTCCTGGGGCCTCCTTCATCAAATGTTCATAGAAATATTTCTGTATTCCTTCCTATGAACACAATTTAGAATGTTCATACAAACTGAACAGTGTAAATCCTGATATAGTGGACTCTTGTACGCATGTTCCTCCACGATTGTCTGATGATAAGTTCCACCTGTGGTACCCAGGTGCTTGTGTTCGTTCACCTCATTTAAATACAGAAACTCCCTCAATTTACCATATTTTGTTACACCATGTCCTCAGCTCGTGAGAGGAATCCCTTGGTTTTTCACGAAAAAAAACAAACTAAAAAAACTTTATTGACAGTGAGATCAAGGCTCTGGCTGCCAAAGTGTAATATGAAGCAAACAAGTTGCAGAGGTTATAAACACAGTTGAGACAAGAGAAGAGGTCCCCGTCAGAAAAAAATAATTTAGTTTGTTCAATCGTAGAGTAAGGGGTTGTCATTTACATTTTCCATTTAAGGAGTTGGGAGTTTGGAGTTAGTTTTATTTGGAAATGTTGTCTGAGAGTGCAGCCTCTTCTGAGCTGTCATTCAGTCTGGTTACCTTGGAAATGTGTGGATGATCACAAGCAAAGGAGGTTCTGGAGGGTTCTCATAGATGTAAGATAAAATATGAAATGGAATCGGATTCAGGCGGTTTGTCTGTCGCTCCATAAAGGATCCCAAAGCATAGCTCCAGAAGGATCTTCTTCAGGAATCAGATCAGTGCGCTCATGGAGGACATGTCCCTTCCGAACTCCAGAGGCTCTTCCAGATCCTGCCAATAACACAAGATCAGTCATTTTACAATTTCTGTCGGTCACAGGTGTCTTTTACAGGTTTTAGCACCAATTATGTTGTTTTTCTACAGAAATAATTATTTAACGGCTAAAGTAATTTGTGGATGTATAACGTGTGGACAACTGAGACATTGCTCTGTTCTACCCAAGCCCACATAATTCTGCAACAGATGAAGCCAACACGGATGTGGCAAAAATTGCAGTTCCACCCTCATCCACAAGGGCAGGGCTACTTAATTCCAGGCCTGGAGGTCCAGCACGTTTTAGTGGTTTCTCTGGTCCAACACACATGATTAAGTGGTTGAATCACCTGTGCAGCAGCTCATCGGACTTTGCAGAAGCCTGTTAATCACCTGCTGATTGAAGTCAGTCGTGTTGAAACAGAGTCAAAACTAAAATGTGCTGGATACTAGCCCTCCAGGCCAGTAATTGAATACTCCTGTGCTAGGGTCTGGCAGCAGATGAGAGCAAATCTCATTGGGTCCCATGTTAAAAATGCCAATTTCACAGCAGAAATAAACATATTTACGACCTGGTCCAAAAAAACATTTTAGGTTTATTAGATCTAGTTTACACTCATGACAATTCTGAGGGGATGAAGTTTTTTGTTACTCTAGTGTATTAAATGCTTAAAAACCAGAATAATTAATGAACATCCACGTGACTTCATAGCTAGCTGCGAAGAAAGGCCTCAGCCTCAAGTTAATAGATGTTCAGCCATTTCGATTCTCTATACTTTAGTTTTGGATGTGTTTTTGTGTTCGTGTTTGGATGTTAATCTTGGATGTTAGTTGGACAAAAGGGTAAACTGGTTACTAACAGACCATCCAAGCAGTTTCTGCTTCTTTTTATCAGTAAGTAAATTTATATTTCTGTTCTTTATTTTGCTGGTTGAATGGGGGAAATGCTGAGTCATTTAACTGCTTGGTCAAACATGTTAGTGGAGCTGCATAAGAAACTTGAGCGGGTGCCCAGCTTCTCCTGTCTCCTGCCCGAGAATAGCAGGAAGCCAGGCCGGCTCCGAAGCAAGGCTTTAGTCAAGCTGGATCTCTGAAGGTGACCACAGAAACACTGCAGCTCTTTTTGTTGTCGCTGCTTCACTTTTGAGTCGCTCAACCGCATTTTTTCTACTGACAACACTCGGGAAAACTCCGTTAGTTTTGGGTTAGTATGTAGCTAGTCTCCAACTCCTGGAGAAGTTGGAGACAATGGCAGGCACACGAATCTTTCACCGCAGTGGACCAACGAAGCGTGATATCCTCAGCTTACCTAGTTCGGATTTCATTACTAAGCAGGCCGGAGGCACCTTTAGTTTGGAGTAGCTCTACCACGTTTTTCTTGCTGAAAATGGCCAGAAAAACTCTTGTTAGCTTTGGGTTAGCGTGTAGCTAATGTCCCGCTGATCTCCGACCGTGGAGCAAGAGCTGATGTAAAAGGCCACGGCGCCCGTCTACGATCGCAGCGGTCTGAGGTTCCACTTGTAATTTAACAGTCCCAGTCCATATTAGATCTTCACAGGCAATCAGCATGACCACAGCCTCCTACTGGAGCCAGTCTAGCGTGCAGGTGGGACACCTCTGTCCAAGGAGCCCTTCTTAGCTTCTTGGGTTAGCTAAGTTAGCCAGTAGCTACTCCAGTTCATTTGTTCCAACCCTGTTCCAAACACAGCCCCACCCTTAGCTCCACCTCTTTTCTCATTTTTGGATTGTCTGGGCGTGACAGGACCTGTGACACACTTAAACTGGTGGTGGTGGGAACCTCACATTTGGGAATAGAAACTTATAAATCCAGCCTATGGACACGAATTGTCCTGTATATATATGTCAATGGTTCTACCTCTAGATGCTGTTCGTATGCATAGTCTGAGGTTTTCTCATAATTAGGAATATTTCCACGCACAAGTACAAAATGATAAATACCACACAATGTGTAAATTCATTCCTACACACAGATCTGTGTGTAAGTATGGTTGATAAATGAGGGACCAGGACTTTTTGTAGGCTGCTTTCTCTTTGCTGTAAATCCAGCCTCTAGAACACACCTGTTAAGATGAGGAAATATAATAATCTGGATTAACATTGCTGGTTCATGCTTGAATGAAGTGATGAGGGATATCTCACAGACTTCTAAAAATATTCATTTTGTCTTAACATATTGTAGCTGTGTGTTTATATATCTAGAAGATGCTTTTATGAAGGGCACTTGATTATTGTTAAAAATGCTGTGCATTGGCCGTGAGAGCGGAGGTGCTCACTGGGGACCATTTTGTTGCTGTTAGCCGTCCGTGTGGGGGGTGTACATACGCGGACTGTTTTGCTGCTGTGAGAGCGGGAAAGTGAGTAATAGTTATGCGTGGAACGTTCCGCTTCTGTCCTTCTTCCGTGGGGTGGGGGTGAGGGGTAGGGGGGCGTGTGTTGAGTCCGTAGCCGTGGAGCTTGAATTTCAGCAGTGGCGCAGCACCACAGCTGAGCCTATGTGGTGTGAACACTATTATACTAATTTAAAAATAAATAAAATCTACTATTTTACTGAGCAATAGGAGGTATGGCATGAGAGTGCATGAATGGGGTAATGAGTACAAGTTGACCACCCTCTTTTCAGTAGTCGTATGTGGCTTTAAGTGTTACCCCCGTGGCCATGACAAGTACACTCTCTAGAGCTGTTTCTCAGTTTTAATGTACCACCATCTGAAATTGTAGAGTTGAGTTGAATCAAGTCGAGCCACGCTGAGTAGGTACTAATTAGGGAGTTCCCAATCACATTTTTCACAGAGCCATTTGATTTTGAGTATCTTCTGATACAGAGTCCCATTTATTGAGTTTAACAATGTATTCAAATAAGAAGAAAGAAGGCCGTCTTGTATTGGCTGTTTTACATACTCGGCAGGTCTTTTTAGGGTTACAAGCCAATAGGCAGGGAACATATGCACAAGAATCAGAACATGCCGCGAAAAATCTAACAAGCCTCTTTGATTGAAAATCTCGAATGCTACTCAGAGTTTTTGTTATCCCCAAGACTCTCTGCCTGTGTGTTGGGGTTTACCCCAGGGGATGAGAGGGTAGCTTCCCTGCGCCTTCGGGTCGGGGAACGGGTCCTGACTGTTGTTTGTGCTTATGGGCCAAATATCAGTGCAGAGTACCCACCCTTTTTGGAGTCCCTGGGACGAGTGCTAGATAGTGCTCCATCAAGGGACTCCATTGTCCTACTGGGGGACTTCAATGCTCACGTGGGCAATGACAGCATGACCTGGAGGGGTGTGATTGGGAGGAATAGTCCGCCTGATCCGAACTCGAGAGGTGGTTCGTTATTGGACTTCTGTGCAAGCCGCAGTTTGGCCATAACGAACACCATGTTCGAGCATAAGGATGCCCATCGGTACACTTGTTACCAAGACAGCCTAGGTTGCAGGTCGATGATAGAATTTGTAGTCATATCATCTGACCTGCGGCTGTATGTTTTGGACACCCGAGTGAAGAGAGGAGCAGAGCTGTCAACTGATCACCACCTGGTGGTGAGTTGGATCAGATGGCAGGGGAAGATGCCGTGAAGACCTGGCAGACCCAAACGCATAGTGAGGGTCTGCTGGGAATGCCTGGCTAGGGCTGGGGGTAAACGATTATTTTTAAAACGATTATTCTGACGATTATTTTATCGAATAGTCGACTATTCTAATGACTATTTAGAAAATTAATCTAATGATTATTTTTCGATTGCACAATTAACAAAAACCAGAAAATCTCAAATAAATTCCTCAAAAAAATTGATAAATTCTTACTGTAAGAGAATAAACACTACAGGCCTTCCATTTTGTATAA